AAATTAAAGCATCATAGGATATTTTATAGGCTGGCTGGTTAGCTCAGTTGGTTAGAGCCTTCTAACACCAGGGTCCTAGCCAGCCACCAGATAAAAAAAAGGAGGATTTTAGAGCTAAGGAACAAACTTTTTGTCCAAGTTGGAAGAGCTGTTCACTATAGCGACTGTCCATGTTCTACAAATTGGCTTAGATAAGATAAAAAATGTAGACAGTTCCAGAACCAGATCTCAAAATTTACAGATCAGTGTTTTTTCTTATCCTTCTACACCCATTTCAGGTTGTGTTGCTTTGCCTCCCATGGAATTGTCACCCCTTTTCCCCTGGGTGACAGAGCTGCCAAAGACTACTCAAAGCCTATCTCTTCTGAGCGGTGTGAAGCCCTGAAAAGGGGTTAATCTCCCAGAACCCTCAAGAGTGAGGCATTCCTTCCATTTGGGAAATTAACCACAAATTGGGGTTCTCTTCCCACATTTATTCTCCAGACCAGGAAGAGAACATAGGTGGGATGTTTGCTAAGTACACTTTAACAAGTTGAATAATACAAACTGGTAACATTCAGTAAGACAAGCAAGGTGACCTTCTATAATGCAATTTGCAACAAAAGCTTGATTTTAGAAAACATTCTCTTCTTACAGCAGTTTCCCAGTATCTTTACATATCAATCAGTAACCTGTCTGTCTTTGCATCAGCAACCTTGCTGTGTTACAATTCTTCATCTCAAAATGGAGACTATAGCCTGGGGAATATTTCCTGTCCTTTGCAAGGTCAATATTTGAAACTACAAAGCTTTGGAAATCCAGGCCCTGTGAACTACATTTGCTTTAGGCATACTCCACAAGGTTGTCCAGGGCAGACATTTATTTTCACAGACTAATTTGCTATTGTTTCAGCTGGGAGTCATATTATTTCACTGTAGCCATGTGGTGGTGGCTTTGCTGGCTTTGCTGGCAGCTTCACACAAGCTGCTTTTCAGCAATTGGAGTGTATACAGTGACAATATGTAACTAAACCAAGCTTTCTGGACCTGCATGCGGAGACAGAGCCCACTTTCTTTTTGGTGTGTGTTAGATTGGGTTGGTGGCCTGTTTCTTGTCTTACATGTTAAGCGCAGCATTATGATCATTGTTTTACACCTCAGTTTCAAGATATGTATGAAAACAGTGGGAGGAATATAAATGGTGCAAAATAAAAGCAAGTGTAGGTATTTAGAACTGAAAAAAGTAGAGTAGTCTGAGAAAGACTGTTCTGAATAAAGTGATAGTGGTTCTGTTAGAGGTGGGAATTTAGATTAATGTTTTCCCTGCTTCTCTCTCTCACTCTCTTGCTCTCTTCCTCACTCACTTTTTGTTCTTTTTTCATTTCAATTTTTCTGTGTTGTTTTGTGTATTTCATGTAAGAACTACACAAGCTTGTTTTAAAGACAAAGTCCCTTACAAACATTTACTCTGAGGGTGATTCACACCCAAAGAGAAGTTGAGGAAATAAATTCACACTCAGTAGAGATTTCCAAATATTAGACCCTGTGTCTTTTTTCTTTCTTTTTTTATTCCTCACTCATTAGCAGAAGAGCTGAAAAGCAATGTCGAAGGACTTTACCCTCCCTGGAAGGAAAGTGCTTTGTGGTCGTCATGTGTTTATATCTAAGAACCCATCCTGGTTTGAGTCCTTTTTCTTCGTTTCTCTCCCCTGTTCTTCACTTCCTGTCTTTCCCCTCTTAATAGTTTGTGACCGATGTGCTTTTAGATATCGCCTTTGGTCAGTCCCAGAGCATGGTAAACAACAGACATTACTGTGAAGCGAACAAGAAAGTCGGCACATAAGACACAATGAATCCTAACTAACGAGGAGTGTAAGTCCCTTTGAAGTTGTTTTCTTGGATTTTTTTTTTTGCAGCTGGTCAGTATGGGGATCAGAACCCTTGACCTGGGTGTTGTCCTTTGAAGTCTGCATTTTGAGTTCCACCAAATCTTTTTTTTTTTCCTTTTTGTCTTTTTTCGTGACCGGCAATGGGATCGCAACCCTCGGTGTCGCGCTCGCACCGCGCTCAACCAGTGAGCTGACCGGTCTCTATATGGGATCTGAACCCTCAGCGGGAGCGCCACCGCGCTCCCAAGCGCCGCACTCTACCGAGTGCGCCACCGGGCTGGCCCGAGTTCCACCAAATCTTGCTAGATGGTGGTAGGGCAGAACTGGTGACTAAACAGGTGTGGGCAGTGAAGGTAAAGGAGATGTTGGAGATAAAACCTGGACATCTGGCTCCACTGAGTTTTTAGATGCAGGTCCTGCTGGCTGAAGAATGGGATACTGACAAGGTCAGATTCAGGTAAAGGGCTTGAGGGCCATTTTAGTCACACTGAGGTCCAGTCGTCCTCAGAGCACTGATTCCCATTCTAGAAAGAGCCAATTAGGCAGGCTCTGTTCTTGGACCCAAGGGCATGTTTAACTCATGTTGAGAGGCACACAGGACTTCTGCACCCCACCATTCCTGATGTAATCACTGTCTACTGAAGTCCAGCCTGAGCACACACACACTGTAGGTGGAAACTCCACTGTCCAAATGGCCACCACTGCCATGCATGTCCAGGACCCAATCCTTCTGGGGCACCAGAACCTTCCTAGTGTAGAAAGGCCTGGAGGTTGAAGTGACCAGTGAGGAGTGGCAAAAGTAGGTGATGAGAGATAGTTAGGGGAAGCCCCTATTTATGAAACTCAAGATGGTCCTTTTCAGGGCACAGGGTATGGCTCTGAGTCAAAAGCATTTGGCTGCAGGGAAGCCAGGGAGAGTAGATTCTGAAGGACAGGGCCACCAATCCTCCCAGGAGGCAGTCCTGCCCAATGGAACCCTCCACCGCCATGTAAGATGTTGTTAGGCCAAGATATCATGAACTTCTCAGAACGCAGACAGTTTGTACAAAAAAAGGAGATACTTGGCTAGTGAGAAACTGAGCAGCATCCACCACGTGGGAGGTAGGGAGGCTTGGCGATCTGGGTCTACAAGACATCTGCTTGAGAGAGGAGTGTCACTTCCAGGAGAGGGTTACAAGAAAAGTGTGACCGAGTCCAGGATATGCCCTGCCTGGCCCGAGGTGCCTCCCACATATCTGAGTGGAAGGACATAGTAATGACACAGACACCACCCTGACTACTGTATGGGCTACTTTGTACCCCCCCCCCAAAAAAAATTATGTTGCAGTCTTAACCTCAGGAACTTCAAAGGGTGACTGCATTTTGAGATAGGGTCTTTAAAGAGGTGGTCAGGTTAAAATGGGTCTAGGCCCTAATACAATCTGACTGTTGTCCTTACAACAAGAAGGGATTAGGACATACAAAGACACACCAGGGGTGATTGTGCACAGAGGTTGACCATGTGAAGAGGAAGAGAGAAGGCAAACAACTGCCAGCCAAGGACAGAGCCTTAGGGAAAACCAATCCTGCCAATACCTTGATCTTCAACATCCAGCCTCCAGAACTGGGAGAAAACACATGTCTGTTGTTTAAGCTGCCCAGTCTGTGGTGTTTTGTGTGGCAGCCCAGCAAACCCATACAAGTAGCTAATGTGAAATGAACAGTAATGTGATGGGCTGTCTCATTCATACCAACAGGAGACTTGTCTAAACTCCATTTAGTGAGGAGGTGATATCATTCACAGCTTCTGCCGAAGTTAGTGATGTTTCTCTCATGAGTCAAATTGTGTTCTCTCTTCCCCCAAATTTATATGTTAAAGTCCTAATCCACACTACCACAGGATGAGATGTTATTTTGCAATACTGCCATTGTAGATGCAATTACTTAATAAAGTATGATTGAATTCCTTATAAACAGGGGGAATTCATGCACAGACCACACGGGAAAAACATTATGAGATGAAGGCAAACATCAGGGTGATGATTCTACAAGCCAAGGGATGTCACAGGTCGCCAGTACACTGCCAGAAGCTAGAGGACAGACATGGACCAGATCCTGTAGGATCAGAATGATTGAGGTGACCTCCTTTTGAAACTCCCATCTGAATCTTAATTACCAGCCTTGCCAATTTAAAGAATTAAAACTGCCGTGTACAGACAAGACTCAGAATATGAATCCAAAAGTACATGTGGTTTTAACCTGAAACATACTGTATCAGGTGCCCTTTCTGCAAAGGAGGTTGTATCTAGTAAGAATATAGGGAGATCCAGGAGAAAAGGGGGTGTTCACAACGTGAGACAGAAACCAAGGTCTCCCGTTAGCTGGGTTACTATGAGTCTGGTGAATATTAGTCTCTTACACGTGGCAAATACATGGCTCATTGCCCTAGAATGGCTGTAGAATTAAAATTCAGAATTGAATAGGGTCATGTCAATAGATTGTAATAATAACCAGTTCTTTATCTGGGAGAGAGGGACAAACGGTTTGTCCAACTGTGTAGTACAATCCATTCAAGACAAGTTAGTTTATTAGATGAGAACAAACATTTTTTTAATGGCTTGGAAGAGAACTACCATACTAATTTCTCATTTGTTTAACCACTTAAAGGAAAATAGATGCATGTTTTTTCATCCTCTAAAATGCATCTGCAAAAATAAACGTGGGTTCTAGAAGAGCAATACCTATATGACAACTAAAAAAAAAAAAAAAAAATTACTTATTAACAGCATGCTGTAATTGGCCCACATTCGAATTTCCCCGTTATTCCCACCATGCCCCAGGTTGATATGACAGGATTTAGTACAGAATCAGAATTCTACCTCGTAACCACGTGGAAAGAGGCTAGTCTTGATCCATCAGGCCCTATTCTCCAGGTAACAAGAATCCGTGCTGAGAAAATAAACAAAATCTTCTCCTTTGGTCCTTAGAGAATGACCAGAGAGTCTTGTGGCAAATGTTGTGTCGCCCTCCAGTGACGCCACCAACACCGGAGGACTAAACAGCTGCTCCAAGTTCCTTCTGTACTTGTGGGGCTCCGCTCGCTCAGCCATCTGGGAAATGTAGTTTCCCTCTGCAGTGAGGACACCTGATCAGGACTACGGGAAAGGTCTCTTCTGCGCATGTGCGGCTCCGCCCACGCCGCCATCCTTTGTCTGGAAATTCCGGATGCTGCGGACGCCTCAGCGCTGCTCCGCAGATCCTGCCAGTGGATTGTGCGTCCCTGAAGGTGGGTGCGAGGATGAGAGAGGATCCCGCGGGCCTCGGGTTCCCTGGGGAGCGGGACGCTGTCCCAGCACTTGGGGGCAGAAGCGCCGCGGGCCTCGGGCGGGCGGGGTCTAACGAGCGGCGCGAGCGCTGGCCTGTGCCGGGCCAGGGAAGGGGCGCCCAGGCTGCGCTTTCCACACGGTTCCGTCAGAGGACGGCGCTGCCGGGTGTGCAGAAGCCGGTTCCACATGTCCCAGTACGGGGCTCAGGTCCCAGGTGGCGACTGGAACGTGGGTGGGGGTGTCTGAAGACAGCGAGCCTGGGAGGTGTGGGGAGGTGACGTTTCAGCTCCGCCATCAGGAACCTGGTACCGACCTGTGGGACGTTCACTTCACCATCTGTACCGTGAGCGTGTGGACATTAGTGTGATGCCCCAGATCCCAGAGGTGAATCTGGGATTGTGAGGTGTGTGCAGACTGTCACTCTGTGGCTGCTGTGGTCGTGGGTGTCTCGGTGTCTCTTCAGGAGGTCACGTTTCTGGTCCCTCCTGCCCTGTGCAGCCGGCCTGGCGCTCCTGGTTTGAATTTACAGAAGTTGATACAGAATCTTGTTTCCAGGACAGTGAGTTTTAGGAAGGAGATTGGGGCACTGGATGTTGATCCCAGTTTCTTTGGAGTGAAGGTGACAAACCTTGAAGGATGGTGCCCTGTGAGTAGGAATCCCACCTGGGGGAGCATCGTTGTGGCCGGAACCCTGTCAGTACTGCTTCAGGGCAGAGGCAAAAGCGTCCAAGAAAGGTGAAGGTCCCAGCTTTGCACAACCTAAACAATGATTGTGTGTAGTGTTTACAATGCACCGCAGTTGGTGATGACGCCTCACTCAGTAGCTGTCTGAGACTGGGTGATATCGAAAGGTTTGGGCCAACATTAAGAAGGGAAAAGTGAATTAGACTGAGAAGGAAAGACAAGGACCCAGGAGGTGTTACTTATTGAACGGGGTTTGAAGGTGTCTGTGGGGTGCACGAATAATGTCTCACAGCGGAGAGGATCTGTCTGCAGTGCTCTCTGAACACACGCCCATTCCTTCAATCTTCCCTCACTGTTCCCAGTGGCTGAGCTCTCAAACCCAGCCTATTGCTAAATTTGGTATCTAGAGATGTGCTGATGGTTCTCTATCTTCTTAGTTCTTTTCCAGTCATTCAGAAATGGCTATAGTCTCCGTTGTAAGACAAGGAATTGTAACACAGCAAGGTTGCTGGCTCAAAGACAGACAGGTTACTGATTGATATGTAAAGATACTGGAAAATTGCTGTAAGAAGAGAATGTTTGCTAAGATCAAGCTTTTGTTGGTGGATCAACTTCTTGAAAATTGCATTATGGAAGGTCACCTTGCTTGTTTTACTGAATGTTACCAGCTTCTATTGTTAAACTTGTTAAACTGAACTTATCAAAAACCCCACCTATGTTCTCTTCCTATAACTTCCTGGTTTGGAGAATAAATGTGGGAAGAGAACCCCAATTCATGGTTAATTTCTAAAATGGAAGGAATGCCCTTGTCTTGAGGGTTCTGGGAGATTAACCCTTTTCGGAACCTCTCACTGCTCAGAAGAGATGGGCTTTGAGTAATCGTTGACAGCTCCATCACCCAGGGGAAAAGCGGTGACAAATCCCTGGAAGGCAAAATAACAGTTTTCCCCATATTTCTACCTTGTTAGAAAAGTGAAAATAATTGGATATGAGAAAATGTGACTTGCCCAGGGTCACATGATTTTTTGATGTTAGACATCCTGACTTTTTGGCTAGCATTTTCCATTTTGACACATTTAAGTCAAAACAAGTGGTTGTTCACTTTTGAGATTTTTTTTATAATGCTGAAATCAACTGAGAACTAACGTTGCTTTAGCATTGTCTTAAACATCCCTAGCCTTTTATTTATTTATTTATTTGTTAGTTACGTATATTCATGAGATACAAAGCTGATTGTTACCCCTCAGTGCCCCTGACATGGGGGCCAGATTCATACTGGCTATATGCCCATTACCACAGATTGCACTTGTACCCCATGTCCCCCACCCAGTTATCCCCAACCACGCCTAAACTCCCTCCCCCCCCAACTCCACTTTGTACCCAATAGAATGTTCTCTCCTTCTGCAAGTCCACTGCACTACTGTGGTCTCTTTTTCCTTCCTTTTTCTCTCTTAGCTCCCACATATGAGTGAGTACATGTGGTATTTATCCCTCTGTGCTTTGCTTATTTCACTCAACATAAGTTTCTCTAGGCTTATCCCTGTTGTTGCAAAATGAGAATATTTCATTTTTTTTATGGTAGAGTAGCATTCCGTGGTGCTTATATACCACAGTTTCCTTATCCAATCATCCATCAGTGGACATTTAGGTTGGTTCCATATCTTGGCTTTTGTAAACAGAGCTGCGATGAACATGGGAGTGCAGGTATCCCTTCAATATGGTGATTTCCATTCTTCTGGAAATATACCCAGAAGTGGGATTGCTGGATCATATGGAAGATCTATCTGTAGTTGTTTGAGAAATCTCCATACTGTTTTCCGTAATGGTTGTACTAATTTACAGTCCCACCAACAGTGTAGGAGTGTTCACTTCTCCCCACACCCTCGCCAGCATTTATTATTCACTGTCTTTGCTTTGGGTAGTATAGACATTTTCACAATGTTAATCCTTCCAATCCAGGAACATGCAATATCTTTCCATCCTTTTTTCTCTTTTTAAATTTCTTTCAGAAGTGGTTTGTAGTCCTTATTCTAGAGGTCTTTCACCTCCTTAGTTAAATTGATCCCTAGGTATTTTATTTTTTTGTGACAGTTGTAAATGGGTTTACTTTCTTTATTTCTCTTCAGTACTTTCTTTGGATTATGTCACCTCAATGGGTAAATAATGTATTTCTCACTTAATGTCAGTAACCTATTCTTTAAAATCATAACTTTTACAGTAATATATTCGAGGCAACTTTACATTATTTGAAATGGGAAAATTAGACTGTACTTACCTTCTAATCAAAACTAATTTCTTAAATGTAACTAAAATGCTAGTGTGCTTCAAAAAGTTCATGGAAAGATTTCTATTCTCTTTTCATTCTATTTTCCCCTGAACTTTTGAAACTATCCTGGTACAGTGCATTACTTACTTATAAGAAACACCATTTTTATGTTGTATGTTTTTAAAGTAAACAACTTTATGTGATGTAAAAAACAGTATACAATAAAACTTACATCTTAGTTTACTGATGTGCAAATAATTGTGTTTTATGATTGACATAGCCTCTATTAGGGCTAGAAACCTCACTGAAGTACATGTAGTTAACACTGTGATTTTCAAAACTTGTACCTGTGGTTGTGAAATCATATCGATTGTATTTGAGTTGTAATTTAAGACTTTCTTGCCCACATAATTTTCTTAAATATGTTTTGAGTTTTGGGGACTTCGATGTATCATTCAGCATTTGCCATGTAAGAAACAAATCAAACCCCAATGTCTTGAAAAACCCAGCCATCTTACTTTTTTGAAGTTGTGTGGATCCACATCTTGGGGTGCGTTTAGCTGGGCAGTTCTCATTCTAGTGTTCCCTTGTACAAATGTGGATTTATTCACCTGGTATGTTCATTGAGGCTGTTTGGTTAAAGATGGCTTTACTCACGTGTCCTGTGGTTTGTGCTGGCCCCTGACTTCTTCACAGGGTGACTGTGTTTAAGAGGCAAGCACCAGTAGCCAGTACTTTTCAAACCTATGTTTGCGTGACATTTTCTAATGTGCCACTGTCTAAAGCAGGTCACATGACAAAGACCAGTTTATTGTCAGAGCACACTATATGAGGGCTTGGGTACAGGGAGATTATTGTACCAGAAGAAATATATATTATGTGTATTTTGTTTACCTATATAATCGTGGGCAAAATGTGCTGGATTACAAGATGCACACTATCCAGATATTTAGAAAACACTGTTTTGGAGTCATGTGTGAATTTAATATATTAATAGGGTAACAGTTAATATAGCCAAACTATTTCTATAACACTAATTTTAGTGATGTCACAATGTGTTTTTCTTTGGTTTAATTTATTAAGTTATATGTTTAGATAATATTTACTTCTGCTAAGTCAGTAGGTTATGTGTGTTTTCATTACCCCAAAATAAATTGTGTGTGTGTGTGTAACTATTAATATACTTGTAGCTGCATCTTTAATGGGGTCCTTGTTGCCCCTTATTGAGGCATAAAGGACTGTTTCCTCACAGGAAGCCTTTTTGTTTGTCTTTTTCAGCTAATAAGTAGAGAGTTTTGGAAAGTAGAATCTAGAGCCAAGCCACAACAGTTCTCTCCTTAATCCACTCCATTCTCTTTTCTCCCAGCTATGCTGTCAGAGTGTGCTATGGGTTTACAAGAGCAACAAAAGGTGGATAAACCTCTGGTGAGTTTTTTTGGTTATTTATTACTCTTTTTTTTTTATTGTATTACATGTGCTTTATGGTGCGCATAAGTTAAAATTGAAAAGTACAGATGAGTAAAATTCAACTTGAAAGAAATGTACACACATAAGATGAAGTTGGCATGTAGATCGAGCAGTTTCTAAGACCTCAGAGTCATCGAACTTGAATAAAAATTTGTCTCTGGTCTTTGTGATGTCATGGGGAAAAGGCAGACACCTTGTTTACATGATCGGAATGGAACCTGAGAAGAGAATCTGCCAAAATCTGTTGGGATGTGAAGACTTGGTGACACCAAATTCTGTAAAACTATGACTTAGAAAGTTTTTTAGTGCTGCCCTGGAAATCAACATTTCTCAATTCCTGCATTGGAAATAGTTGCCTAGTTCTTAGGAACAAGTTGCTTAGTAAGTTTTTTTAAGTTTCTAAAATAAATCTAGTTCCAGATGGCTTTGGAAGACTGTACTAGATTCATAGGTAAAACCTAGAATTAGAACCTAAATCATAGTCAAATCTAATGACTATTCTCTACTCTTTTTCTAGCTTGAGTCTTCTGCTACGTTGGGAACTAGTGTTCATAATCTTCTCTTGGAAATTCTTCTCTGTTAGTTTATTAGTTTCTTTCATGACTTCACTGATGGATTTTGCTCTTTTCTCCTGAATTCTACTTTCTTTTTTATAACATAGCTTATCACAGTGCTTTATCCTTGGCCCTGTTCTTCTACTGTGAAATTCTTTCTCACTGATTCAGTCCTCTGTATTTTGTACTCTTCCTTCTCTCCAGTTTCTGCTTCTTCTTTAATCTTTTGATGATAGGTTGAACTCTATTATATGCTTGTTTGTAGCTGTTCAAAAGACACCTCAAGGGGCTGGCTTGTTAGCTCCGATGTTTAGATCATGGTGTTTTAACACCAAGATCAAGGGTTCAGATCTCTGCACCAGTCAGCTGCAAGAAAAAAAAAAAAGTCACCTCAAAGTCAACAAATCTAAAATTAAAATTGCTTTTTCCTCTTCTCTTGTGTGTGTTATCAGTACCATGCAGCCACTGACCCAAGCCACAAAAACGAAATTTCTCCTGGTCTCCTTCCTCCCTGTTTCTTGGGTCTAATATTATCTTGTGTTAATTCCTGCTACTTTTGTTTGTTTAGTTTTTTCATTTTATTCTGGTTTATATATACACTGCTAATATAGGGGGAGATGCTGATACTCATAAAGACAGTAACTTTGTTTGTTACATTGGAAATATCATTCTTGTAAAAAGCTGAAGGTAATGTTTGCTGGGTTATTAGGTTCAATTCCTGGTGACCTATGCTTCTAGGCAGCACCTGTGGTGACATCGTTAGGAGTCTATGGGGAGAAAGTCTTCAGGAGTTATTGGGATATGTTTGAATAATGGTCAATAAAAACACATGGATATAATAAAAACGGAAAGTACTCATTTTCCTAATGTCTACCTTTTGCTTCTATAAATTTACATCAGTGATTCTATTTGTAGTTTTTATTAATATACAGTTATCTGTTTGTAGTTTAATAAGACCCATCATGTTTTAAAATTTTCTTATGATTGTATTTTATTCTCCTGTTCTAGGTAATTACTTAAAAATGAATGAATAAAATGGATGTGGGCATTAGTCATCAGTATGTTTATAAAGTGGAACTGTAGCTAAGAGCTAGTTAAGAGCAAAAACTGACAAACTAGTTAACCGAACTTTTTCTTTGTCCTTTCTGTTTGCTTGTTGTATCAGCTTCAAGGAATTGTAATTGTTATGTCTTCTTCCTTTCCCCTCAGGTTTCTTGTGTATTTATTTATTTTTAGCTCCCACAAATAAGTGAGAAAATGTGATATTTCTCTTTCTGTGCCTGACTTGTTTTACTTAATATAATTCTCTCTAGGTCCATCCAAGTCATTGCAAATGGCAGTTATTTCATTCTTTTTTATACCAGAGTAGTATTCCATTGTGTAGATATATCACATTTCTGTATCCACTCAACTGATGATGGACATTTGGGCTAGTTCCAACTCTTAGCTATTGTAAAGAATGCTGCAATGAACATTGGGGAACAGGTATACCTTCGATTTGATGATTTCCATTCCTCTGGGTATATTCCTTTGATGATTTCCATTCCTCTGGGTATATTCCAAGCAGTGGGATAGCTGGGTCATATGGTAGATCTATCTGCAATTGTTTGAGGAACTTCCATACCATTTTCCATAGAGGCTGCACCATTTTACAGTCTCACCAACAATGTATGAGAGTTCCTTTTTCTCCACAACCTCGCCAGCATTTATCGTTCAGAGTCTTTTGGATTTTAGCCATCCTAAATGGGGTGAGATGGTATCTCAGTGTGGTTTTGATTTGCATTTCCCAAATGCTGAGTGATGTTGAGCATTTTTTCATGTGTCTGTTGGCCATTCATATATCTTCCTTTGAGAAATGCCTATTTAGCTCTTTTACCCATTTTTTAATTGGGTTGCTTGTTTTTTCTTGTAAAGTTGTTTCAGTTCTTTGTATATTCTGGATATTAATCCTTTGTTAGATATCTGTTTTGCAAATATTTTCTCCCACTCTTTTGGATGTCTTTTAACTCTTGTTAATTGTTTCTTTTGCTGTGCAGAAGCTTTCCAGTTATGCCAGCACCATTTGCTGAAGAGGCAGTCTCTTCCCTAGTATATGGGCTTGGTGCCTTTGTCAAAGATCAGATGGCTGTAGGTGTGTGGGTTGATTTTTGGATTCTCTATTCTATTCCATTGATCAGTGTGTCTGTTTTTAGGCCAGTACCATGCTGTTTTGGTTATTATAGCTTTGTAGTATAGTTTAAAGTCAGGTAGTGTTATGCCTCCAGCTTTATTTTTCTTGCTCAACATTGCTTTGGCTGTGTGTGGTCATTTGTTATTACATATAAATGTCTGGATAGGTTTTCCCATTTCTGAGAAAATGTCATTGGAATTTTGATAGGGATTGCATTGAATTTGTATATCACTTTGGGTAGTATGGATATTTTCACAATGTTGATTCTTCCAATCCAAGAGTATGGGATATCTTTTCATCTTCTTGTATCCTCTCTTATCTCAGCAGTGGTTTGTAGTTCTCATTATAGAGATTTTTCACATCCTTGGTTAATTCAGTTTCTAAGTATTTTATTTTTTTGGTGACTATTGTAAATGGGCAAGCTTTCTTGATTTCTCTTTCTGCATATTCACTATTGAAGAATAGAAATGTTACTGATATTTGTGTGTTGATTTTGTATCCTGAAACTTTGCTGAAATCACTGATCAACTCCAAGAGTTTTTTTGTAGAGGATTTGGGCTGTTCGATATATAGGATCATGTCATCTGCAAACATGGACAGTTTGACTTCATCTTTTCCAATCTGGATGCCCTTTATTTCCTTCTCTTCTCTGATTGCTCTGGCTAGTACTTCCAACACTATGTTGAATAGGAGTGGTGAGAGTGGGCATCCTTGTCTAGTTCCTGTTCTTAAAGGAAAAGCTTTCAG